ACAGCGGGGCGAAGCTGGGGAGACCCTGCACCCTTCCCCGAGGGAGCCACTCCTTCCCTCTGCTCCCAGCAGCCCCTGCGACGGCCGAAGCTCCGTTCATGCAAGCAAAGCAAGCCCAAGGTTAACCGCGAGCGTCTTCTCTTACGTTTCCCTGCATGACCCTAAAAGGACGTTATGTACAATTCTTCCCCAACCCGCCCCGAGCCCCCCGCCCAACGCTTTTTCTAACAAAATCGGAAGAAGCAGCTCCAGTCGCCCACGCCCGGCCCTGGATCCCGATCCTGGGGTGGCAGTGTCGCCTGATGCTCCGGAAGTCTGCTTCTCCCCTGCAGCTACTGTTTTGCCAACCTTGGGGAAAATAAATAAAAACCTACTCGGGGAAATTCTACCTCTTCATCCTCCCCAGTTGCCTCTGCATGAAAACAACACAGGAAAACCACTGACATCAGTTCAACCCGCCATCGTTCAGATCCCAAGTCAAAAATAAACACAGAGAGCATGAAGGAGAGCCATGATTTCTCACCCCGTTCCACCCCCCGCCGCCCGGAGAATGTGACGAGGGGGACACAGGCCTCTTCGAAGGGGGACAGGGACCCTGCCAGCCCTGGGGATGAAGCAGCTTTCCTGCTGAGAAAGTAGAAGCTCAAAAGGCCCCTCACACGCCCCCCCACCCCGCCTCAAGGAGAGATCCAGGGGGACAGGCTGGGCAGGGCCACCGCGACGAGCCTCCCTCAGGACCCCACTCCTGCCCCCAAACCCACCAGTGTTGTCAAGACGCGGGACTCCCTTCTCCTTACGGCTCATTTTCTTTCCCCAAACCAGGCGGCAGCGGGTCCCCCATGTGTTCGACAAGCTCCTTCTCACAGCATCTGACCCTTTTCCTGGCCCACGAAATCCTGAGCCTGACACAGCCAAGGCGTCCAGTCAAGACGCAGAATAGAGGGGCCGGCCCACGACGAGACCTGGGAATCGGTCTTTGTCTGAGCTCTTTCCATGGCAAGGCTGCCAGGCCGTGAACGGGGAAGGTCGGAAGACAGTTGCTCTCCCACACGGTGGAGCGTGAAAGTCCTAGGACCGTGGTCGGCAAACCGCGGCTCGTGAGCCACATGCGGTTCTTTGGCCCCTTGAGTGTGGCCACGAAGTTTCAATCGCACTGTACATGCACGCCCACACGTAGTATTTTGTGGAAGAGCCATACTCAAGGGGCCGCAGTTTGCCAACCACTGTCCTAGGAAGCTGGAGAGGGCCCGTGGCCATCGCTCAGGGACAGAGGACATAGGACATTTGGTCCTTAGAAATGGCTGCACCCCATCATGCACACCCTCACACAGGCCCCCCCCCCCCCCCCC